GGGTCAGCTACATGGATTGCAAGACGCCATTGTGCTCTATCATTTATCAAGCTTTTAGGAATATTATTAATTAAGAGATCGCATTCAACAACTTCCAAGACTGCCAAAATTTCTACAATTTTAAATATTTTGTTAATACTAATAGTTGTTTAATACAAATGACAATTATACAATAGGATTGGGCAATTATTATGTTAGATATTTTATGGGTTTAGGCTTATGAAATATGAGTTTTCTTGTATTCCAATCAGTCACAATTTAGAAGTTCAAGATGTGACACAAGCATGCTAGTCTCTTTCAAGAGATCTAGCACATACTTTCTCTAAAAAATAGAGGTTCCTTTGTTGGATCTCACCACCTCCATACCTAAGAAATACTTCATTTCTCCAAGGTCCTTTATCTAGAATTCTTGAGCTAGCGCCTTTTTAAGGTTCTCAATTCCTCAATATCATCACCTATAATAACCATATCATCCACATAAACCAACAAAATAGTAATTTTAGTGCCTCAGTGTTTGAAAAACATTGTGTGATCGCTTTAACCTTGTGTGAACTTTGCCTTTTTTAGTACTTGTGTAAGTTTCTCAAATCAAGCTCTTGGATACAGCTTTAGTCCATACAAGCACTTCTTCAACTTGCATACCTGATTTGGTTTATTCCCTAAGAACTCAAGAGGCAACTTCATGCATACTTCTTCTTTCAACTCATCATTTAGGAAGGCATTTTTTACATCTAATTGATGTAATTGCCAATCAAGGTTGGCTACTAATGATAGAATTATTCTACCAATATTTAGTTTCACTTCAGGTGCAAACATCTCAGTGTAGTCTATACCATACACCTGGGAGAACCCTTAAGCTACAAGTCTTCCTCTGTGTTTGTATAGACTACCATTAACATTGTATTTAGGTGTAAAGACACACTTATAGCCAACTACTTTCTTATCTGGAGGTAATTCTACAACATCCCAAGTTTCATTTTTCATCAATGCCTCCATTTCCTCCATTATAGCTTGCCTCCATTCAACTAAGGCTATGGCCTCTTCAATATTCTTTAGTACTGTAACACTATCCAAATGGGCAATCAATCCACAAAATTTAGCAGACAGTGCTTGATAGAACACAATCCTTTTCATAGGGTGGCTAGTGTAGGCTCTTGGCTTCTTCCTCATAGCTATAGGCAGATCAAGATTATCATCACAGCCTGATTATTCCACAATACCACCATTATTTTCTTCTGGACCTACATTTGGTTTTGACTCTTCATCAATTCTTGGAGCATGGGTCTATTTACTTGTCTTATTTTTTCATGCATAGGTCTGTGCAAATCTGGTGTCTCCCCTTGTCATAGACTTCTTCTTCTCCTTAGGACTAGGATTTGGCACATCACTTGTTTCAGTTAGGGTGGTGGTATTGGTGTTGTCAGTCTCAATTTCTAGGCCAAGATCAAGATCTACGAGTTCGAGGGATAAATGGGGAGGTATAGCTGTTTCAGGGTTTCACTCGTGCTTTCACACATGTCAAACAATTCATTCTAATTCTCCCCTTGAATTGTAGATTGGGAGTAGAAGGAATCGGTTTCATGAAAGGTGACATCACAAGTGGTAAAGACACGTTTGGTAGTAGGGTTGAAGCACTTGTACCCCTTTTTAGTGGTAGAGTAACTCAGGAAAACACATTGGACAGCTTTGGGGTCAAGTTTATTTGTATGATGAAAGTGAACATAGGTAGTACACCTAAATACTCTTAAGGGAAGAGTGTTTTCCAAGTAGGGTAGATTGTAAGATTGGTGTAGAACTTCAAGAGGAGTTTTATATGACAAAGTGCTGTTTGAAGATGATTAATAAGGAAAGTGGCAGTTAAGAAAGCATCATCCCGGTGATATTTAGGAACATGGCTACTGATGAGAAGTGCACGGGCTGATTCAAGGATGTTCCTATTTTTCCTTTCAACAATACCATTCTGCTAAGGACTATCTGGGCAAGTGCTTTTGTGTACAATTCCATTGGAAAGTAAAAACATAGAGAGGTGATGGTTGAAATATTTTGTGCCATTGTCAGTGTGGAGGCTTTGAATAGATATGTGAAATTGAATTTTAATCATATGATAGAAATCAATGAACACCAATGAAACATCATATTTGTCCTTGAGAAGGAACACTCAACTACTAATACAAGAATGATCCTCAATAAATGTGATAAACCACTTTGAGTGAGTTCTATTAGGAATCTGAGAGGGCCCCCATAGATCATTGTGAATGGTTGTAAAAGGTTTGGATGCCATGCATGGCTGACGTGGAAAAGAAGCACGATGATGTTTTGCTTGTTTACAAGAATCACAATAAAATTGAGAACAATCTCTTTTATTGCAAATTGAAGGAAACATTTTGACATATAATTGAAATTAGGGTGACCAAGGAGTTTGTGCCATAACTCCAACACTTTATTGCATGACCTAACACTGCTGACTTCACTTCCATCTAGGTAGTAGAGACCATCAAACTCTTTAGCACTGCTAATCATCGTCCCCGTCAATAGAACCAGGAAAAGACAATAAGTAGCAAAAAAATCAGCATGGCACTTCTCATCTTTTGCCAATTTACTCATTGAGAGTAAACTACACTTTAAATTAGGAACATGAAGAACATGTTGTAATGTGAGAGTAGACAAAATATGTACACTCCCAATACCAATAACAACAGACTCTGATGTATCTGCAATCTTGACTGCAAGTTTCTTTTAGCAAGGTATATATGTTGTAAATAGTTTAATATTATCAGTCATGTGATCCGAAGCACCTAAATCTACTATCCAACAATCTCCAGTGCATACTCATTTAACAGTGGCTAAGGCTCTAAAAAAATTACCTTCGCACCATAGTGGCAACAAGTTGCTTACTATTAGTTTGTAGAACTAAAAGCATCTCAAAATTTTTACTTAGTTGATCATTTGAGGGCTACAAATTGTCATCTCCCACAGAGCTTTCAGCAACATATCCATGATTCTTCTTTTCCTTGGCTTCCAGTTGGGGGTTTTACCATGAAGATCCTAGCATTTTTCCTTTGTATGGCCAACCTTCTTATAGCGTTCACACATGGGACGACCTTTATTGTTTCTAGGATCATTGGACTTGGCAACAAGAGCAGATGCTGATGCTTCAAAAGTACTAGTTTGAGGGACCCATTCATCTTTTAACATTACCTTTCTTCGTAAGTACTCCCTTTGGACAGATGGCAAAGGTTCTAGACTTAGAATTTTGCCACATGCAACATCTAAATCTGAATTGAGTCCCACTAACAACTCATAAAAACGTTCTTTCTCAAGCCGCTTTCGAAATCGAGCAGCATCCTCAAAACTGATCCATTCCTCAACAATAATGAGATCATGTTCTTGCCATAAAGAAGTTTTTTCAAGGTAATATTCACTTGGGTCACAATTACCTTGCTTCACGAGCCACAGCTTCGATTTAATCTCAAACACTTGAGAAGCATTTTCACCATTAGAGAATGCCTCCTTCACAGCATCCCATATCTCTGAAGCTATTGGGAGAAATGAAAAACTTTTCTTCACAGCCAGCATCATCGAATTCACTAGCCATGAACACACCATTGAATTTTCAATCTTCCAAACTTTGAAAGCCTTAATATTTGTTGCTTCTAGACATTGGGATTTCCAGGAAACGTACCCCTATTTACCACGACCCTCTATTGCAAGTTGAACACACTGGGCCCACTCTCAGTAGTTGACGCTGGTGAGCTTGTCTGAGACGAGGGAGACAGGTGAGCTCTCTTGGCTAGTCACAAAAGATGCAAACTGACACGAGCTCACACTGGACGAACCCTCCAAGCCAATTGACTCTGTTCTTTGGTGAGTTTCAAGCCAAGAGTTCAAGTCCATTTCTGTCTCCGATGATTCAGTCGCTCTTTCTTCCTCATGCTCTGATACCATGAAGATAAATGAGCAAAACTGAACTTATTTTATTCAGTGAGCGTTGACTGAATATATACAGTAGGATAGCCATGGTACGGGCCAAGAAAGAAGGGATTTACAATGATAAAGAATAAAAGCAAAACTTCCCCAATATATCTGATCTTTTTTTTTTATCTGATCCTATTTGATCATATATCTAAGGGAATAATTACCAAATATTTACATTAAATATTATATATTTCCACAAGATAAAACACTTTAAAAGATGTTTTACACCAAAGACATCAGAAAGCACTGAAATTCATTTGAAATTTTTGTTCACCTGTTGAATATGTCAAATTATCAATTGGGATAAAGAAATAAGAATCCAAATTTAATAACACTTCAAAATAGACTAACATTGAATACTTGCAGCAATATAGAAAACTTCTGATCTTGCAAGCTGGGATCGTCCATAATATGTACATAAAACAAACTGTAGCTAAATGACTAGAGCAGAGAGCTCCAAGTTTCAGTTTGGTAAACATCATTCAATATTTCAAATTGTGCCCATTCATGCCTCATCACTTTAAAACCATTTGATATTAGTCCCTACTATAGTTGTCATACCTTTTTGTATACCATAACATGAGCCATTTTCAGTCACATTATTTCAAAGATCAGATCTAATGGAATAAGGCTTCTTGGTATTGTTATTTCAAAGATCAGACACCATTAAAAAGTTACAACTCAGGTTATAGGATATCTGAAGTCACAATTGACAAGAACAATGATTCAGCCAACAAACTACTACTTCCAGGGACATGCGGTTGCCTTTAACAATACTGCAAAGATACATGCTGCTTATTCAGTAAGATCACAATCTTCTCTTAGTAGATGACGTTATGACTCCCACATTACTTAGTGACCATTACAAAACCACGTCCAAACATCTTTCTACAAAGTAGTTTACATTAGACCATTGGAAGCATTAAGACCATCAAAAGGATAAATTATTCTTCAAATAGGGCCAGCCCATAATTTGGTACTAGAAACAGTTACCATAAACTTCAGAATAAAAAAAAAATGCTTACCAGAAGTTGCTCTAAAAAGCAAAAATAAGCTAGCATGCTGACCAAGACAAGAACTGGTACATCCTGCCAGATCCTGTCGTGCATGAATGATTAGATTGCATTACAATTAGAACCAGTAAAAGAACAGACAAAATAAAGAAAAAGACTAAACAAATGGAAAAAAATATTAAAAGATCAATTAAAAAGACATTTTTGTCTTTAACGTTAAAAAATATTATTTTCATTAAAAAAATAGTTTAGACTTGAAAAATGAAAGAAAAAAAATTAATAGTGAACTTCTTCAGAAGTTAACTTCCCATAAAGCATATTTCCCAGGAAGTTAACTTCCTGAGAAATTTGGCAAACTGAACCAAATTTGACTTTACATCATTTTAAATTTGAACAAAGTTTATCCTATCTTTCCACATTACATTAGTTTAGATTAACCGGGACTAAGGCTCTGTAAATAAGCCCTTGTTCACTGGTAGTTCTTTGGCCCTATTAAATAAATTGAGTAGTTTTCAATCTCTTTCATAATTACTCTCTATTTTCCCCCTATTTCTTTCTAGCTCTCTCTCCTCCTCCTCCTCCCTCCACCTTTTGCCTTCATTGTTTTACATGAGTTTTCTTCCCTAGAATTTGCCTGTCTCTCTCTTCTCTTCTCTTCTCCCTTCTTATTTCCCACAGAGGACTCCAGCTGACTTCCATCTGCCCAAGTCCCTAACTCTGCTGTTCAATTCTGTTACTTCATTTCCCTATTTTCCCCTGGTGCCTTCAAGTACACTCATTAACCAATGGGGGTCCTTCAGACAGGAGGTCAGTGTCCAGCAATTGTAACTTCCTAGGAGGAAATTTGGTTACATAAAAAGAAGCATCGTTATAAGATCTAGTGTTGAATCTGAATTTAAACCTATAGTTCAGAGATTGTGAGCTTTTATGGCTAAAAATAATCCTGACTGATCTCAAAATTAAGAAAGAAGGAAAGATAAAGTTGTCATGTCACGTGTGATAGCTAGTTTCTGCAGCTGAAATTGCACAGAATCTAATTCAACGACAAGACTTGGCAAAATGAGTTAGGCAGACAATTTATAAAGGAGGAGCTAAATAGTAGCCTGATCAATGACATTACATCCATCAGATAATTACCGTAATTAACAAAAGGCTGCATACGACTAAATTTAAAGAAGTCACAAGCATGTTGAGAATGGAAAATATACATTCACCAACTTGAGGGGAGTGTCACAATCCCTATTATCCCTCAACTACCCTAAAAAGGTACTTCCACTTTGTTCGTTATATTTTTAGCCAGTCATGTATTCTTCAGGTTTTGATCAATTTGGGATTTGTTTCTCTGAATATGATCATCCGTGTGCGTGTGTGTGGATATTATGTCATTGTTAAGCATTAAAAGAACAACACGTTGCTCAAATGCTGAGGCCTAGCATGTTAACACAAGTGTAATATCCCAACTTTTAAAGGGACCAAAATGAAAATTTGTAGGTCCCACATTGTAAGGAATTCTCCAGTTTTGGAATTTTAGCACAATCATGCAAAGTTAAGGGGAAAAAGTTGCAGGAATATATAATTTTGAAAATTATGGAAAAAAATGTCCCTCAACATTGGAATAGACAAACAAGGAAAATATGAGATTTATAAGAAATTAGATTGCCCATATATAATTATGTTCATATATTTATTGTACCCTTCAATGAAAGATATGTTTAATATATTAATCCTTCTACAAAGCAAACACTAGCCTTTCTAAACCCTAGTTTTGTTTTGCCTCTTAGAAGGAAAAAAGAGAGGAGGCAATGGTAGTCTTGTTAGAAGAAAGAGAAGGAAAAAGCACCCAAAAACAATTAAGTTCTCTGCATCGTTAGCCTCAACTTCTTCTCTCCTATAATTCTAGAAGATCTAACCCCTCCCTTTATTGAAAATTAAACGTTCAAGACAATATCTTGGGGTTGAAAGTAGTGACTGAAGTAATGCAGACCAAAAAGATGAAAGAGGTGAGCCTCCTATCAATGTCTAAGTAAGTTCAATAACAAGAATCGCGACAACATTCTTTTATAATTAAAGCACTATACCCACGTTTAGTACCCAATCATACCTCTAATAGAATTGCCTCCAATAGGAGGGCACCTATGCACAATAAAAAAAATTAAGGGGAAAAAAACACTCAAGAATTAGGAATGAAGAAAGGCAGTTAACGAGAATATGGTTTCTTAGCATGAGAATTAGGAATTTGCATCAAGAATTTCAAGAATTAATTTCTTGAAAAGCCCAAAATGCTTAAGATGTCACATAGTATAAATCATGAGATTAATGAGAGAAGTTTACATATAGGCTTAAGATTAAAGTTATGATCTTCATATATAACACTTTTAAGATGACTAGCAAAGAATCTTTGGCATTGGACAATTCTTCATAAGTTAGCAATACAACTCTTCTAGCGTATTCATCATTGTTTGGGTATTGGTTTATTTGCATGCAATGTTATGTAATGAGCACAAGTAGATATATATGCAAAGTTAGGGCCTTTATGGCTAAAGATTGCCTCTCGGGCAAAGAATTATCCTCATGAGAAAGAGGTTTATGTAAAGATAGAGCCTTTTAGCTAAAGGGATGCCTTAATGGATAGAGAGACCTTGCAGCTCAAGTTACTTTTTGGCATAAGCAAGTAAGGCAAGGGATTGAACAAAGTATTTCTTCCCAAGCCAAAATCAGTTTAATCACGAATTCTACGAGTTCATGATGTATTAAGGTATATGTATGCTACTTCTTGTATCTGTTGTATAATGATTCATAATGTTATGTGCTTGTATTGCTTTGCTTGAGTGATGATAACGTGCTTGAATTGTCAATAGTTGCTAGTAAGATGTTCCCATCATCTCATCCCATTTTACAAACCCATGCTCGGTGAAGCTAGTGGAAAGGACAGGGGCAAGCAAGTGGCCAATGAGCCTTGAGAAGAACCTATATTTATTTAATATGGTTTGGTTCAGTTATGATTTTATTTACATTTGGAATAAGAAATTGAAAAGAATCTCACAGTTGTCTTAGATACTATTGTTGGTTTAAATGTTTTGGACCAATGATTCTTAGATAAATTCTTAGATACTATTTCCATTTAATGACCTAGAGGACTCGTAGAACTTTATAATAAATTCCATTCATGTTATTTGAAAATTTGTGGCATGAGAATTTGCGGCGTAAGAAACAAAATTTCAAAGTCATGCTTGAATTTTATAAAAATCTGGAATTTTTGTTCACAAGCCAGCCACGTTTATGTAAACTTCTAACATATTCTAAATTTCTATGACAATATTTCTTCTGTTGCAGAGGACATCCAGAGCTTTAAAACAAGCCAAAGCTTGCCTGATTTCAATTTTTCTAAATCTAGTTATGAATTTTAAAGCTCACTGCAAAATGAGGCAAAGGCCAAGCACAAACTAAAAGAAAATCATCATTATCCCTCATTTTCATTTCGTGATTAGGATAGAGTTTTCAGCTAATTTATGATTAAAATTTATAAGGGAATTATTAAATAAAGCATGTGTTACAAAAGAACTTAAGTCTCTTATGCGTCAGTATGAAAGGAATTTGAACACAAAAAGAGGTAGCACATTTAAACTTGCCTGTGAAAAGAAACTTCTGTCTGCTGTGAGCTATTTGATGACCATCCAGCAGCAGGATGAGGACTTTGGATTTTCAACAGAGTCACTGGAAGGTTTTGGACATCCTGCTTGCAAACATCACAAGTCTTGTTTCCTTTTATACTAAACCACTTTACTGCACACTCTTGATGAGCAAGCGCAAGGTCTCCTCTACAACTGCACTCCATCTTGAGGGTATCCCCACCTTCCCCCAGCTCCATTAAACAAATCCTACAAACTGCTTCTTCTTCAGGAATGTCCTCGGTAGCATCTTCAATGGCTGGAAAAGGAGGGAAGAGAAGGAATTTAAGCACAAAATTAACTAGAAAACCAAGGACTAGGGGACAGTAAATTAATGTGTATTAAAAAAATTATTTTTCCATCTAATCGTGCCAATCAATTGGTCTAGGATGCATAGGAAAAGCAAAAATGTATCTTAAAAGAAAGATTTCTGACCTATGTAATTAGTGTGCTTGAAGAATTACTGAGCAAAAAACTGAATTTTACTGTACAGTGGGAGGACGCATACATATACACATACAGACCATGATATCAGCCGAGATATATGGCCAAGAAATAAGGGATAGGGAGAATAAAATAAAAGATTTCCTAATATATCTGATCCTATAATAACTATCAGATATTTACATTAAATATAGTATATTTCCACACTCCCCCTCAAGTTGGACCATAGATGTTAATCATGTCTAACTTGCAGATGAAATAATCAAACTTATCTCTACTCAAGCCTTTTGTGAGAACATCAGCTGTTTGCTCCCTTGTTGGTATGTGTCTCATCTGGATGATAACAGTATCAATCTTCTCTCTGATAAAGTGTTTATCTATCTCAACATGCTTGGTCCTGTCATGTTGGACTGGGTTGTGTGAGATGCTGATTGCTGCCATACTGTCTGAATACAGAGTGATAGGTAGGTTAACATCATTTTTTAGTTCCTCAATCACCCTTTTAATCCATATACCTTCACAGATTCCCAAAGCAATAGCTCGAAATTCTGCCTCTGCACTACTACGGGCTACTACACTTTGTTTCTTGCTTCTCCAAGTAACTAAGTTTCCCCAAACAAAGGTGCAGTATCCAGATGTAGATTTTCTATCCTCTTGATCACCTGCCCAATCTGCATCCGTGTAGAGTTCCATACCGCGCTTCTCAAATTTCTTAAACCATAAACCCTTTCCAGGAGTACCTTTCAAATACCTGAGAATCCTGTAGACCTCATTCAAGTGTTTCTGCTTGGGGTCATGTGAATGTTGACTCACCATGCTAACTGCAAAGGCGATGTCTGGCCTAGTATGTGACAAATAGATTAATTTCCCCACCATACGTTGATACCTGCCTATATCAACAGGCTTGCCAAGATTTTCTTCATTGCTTATCTTGTCAACTCGGACAGGTATATCACTAGGTCTACACCCAAGCATGCCAGTCTCATTTAAGAGATCTAGCACATATTTTCTCTGAGAAAGATATTCCCTTCGTGGATCTTGCTACCTCCATACCCAGAAAATACTTCATTTCTCCAAGATCTTTTATCTGAAACTCTTGAGCTAACGCCCTTTTAAGATTTTCAATCTCCTCAGCATCATCGCCTGTAAGAACCATATCATCCACATAAACCAACAAAACAGTAATTTTAGTGCCTCGGTGTTTGTAGAACATCGTGTGATCGCTTTGACCTTGTTTGAACCTTGCCATTTTTAGCACCCGTGTGAGTTTCTCAAACCACGCTCTCGGAGACTGCTTTAGTCCATATAAGGACTTGTTTAATTTGCACACTTGATTCGGTTTATTTCCTGGGAATCCTGGTGGCAACTTCATATATACTTCCTCTTTCAACTCACCATTTAGGAAGGTGTTTTTTACATCTAATTGATGTAATGGCCAATCAAGGTTGGCTGCTAGTGATAGAATTATTCTAACAGTATTGAGTTTGGCTACCGGTGCAAATGTCTCTATGTAGTCTATACCTTACACTTGGGAGAACCCTTGAGCGACAAGTCTCCCTTTGTTTTTAGTTAGAGTCCCATCAGCATTATATTTAGGTGTGAAGACCCATTTACATCCAACTGCTTTCTTTCCTGGAGGTAATTCTACCACCTCCCGAGTATTATTGTTTATCAATGCCTCCATTTCTTCCATTACAGCTTGTCTCCATTCAGGTATGGCCATAACCTCTTCAATGCTCTTTGGTACTGTAACACTGTTCAAATGGGCAGTAAATCCATAAAATTTAGCAGACAATGCTTGATAAGACACAAACCTCTCGATCGGATGCCTAGTACAGGCTCTTGGCTTCTTCCTCATAGCTATCGGTAGGTCAATATCATCCTTATCTCCTGATTCTTCCAGACTTCCTCCATTATCTTCTTTTGGACCTACATTTGGTTCTGACTCTTGGTCAGTGCTTGAGATATGGGTCTGTTTACCTGTCTTGCTTTTCCGTGTATAGGTCTGTGCAAATCTGGTGTCTCCCCCTGTTGTGGACGTCTCCTTCGGACTAGGATTTGGCATATCACTTCTAATATTGGTGTTCTCAATTCCTAGGTCCAAATCAGGATCAGTGGGTTCAAGAAACAAATGATGAGGTACAGCTATAAGATTGGGTGTTTCAGGTATTTCACTCATGTTTTCACCCATGCCAATCTGCAATTCATTCCAATTCTCCCCCTGGATTGGGGATTGGGAGTAGAAGGATTCAGTTTCGTGAAAGGTGACATCACAGGTGGTGAAGATACGTTTGGTGGTGGGATCAAAGCACTTGTACCCCTTTTTAGTGGCAAAGTAACCAAGAAAAACACATCGGATAGCTTTGGGGTCAAGTTTGTTTGTGTGATGAAGATGAACATAGGAAGTACATCCAAATACCCGTAAGGGTAAAGTATTTTCCAGGTAGGGTAGATTGTAAGTTTGGTGTAGAACTTCAATGGGAGTTTTATATGACAAGGTGCGATTGGGAAGGCGATTAATAAGGAAGGTTGCAATTAGGACAGCATCATCCCAATGATATTTAGGAACATGGCTACTAAAGAGGAGTGCACGAGCTGTTTCAAGAATGTGCCTATTTTTCCTTTCAGCAATACCATTTTGCTGAGGACTGTAAGGACAGGTACTTTTGTGAACAATTCCATTGGAAAGTAAAAAAGTGGAGAGATGTTTGTTGAAGTATTCTGTGCCATTATCAGTGTGAAGGGTTTGAATAGATGTGTGAAACTGATTTTTTACCATATGATAGAAATCAATGAACACCTGAGAAACATCAGATTTGTCTTTTAGAAGGAACACCCAAGTAACTCGAGAATGGTCATCAATAAAGGTGATGAACCACTTTGAGTGAGTCCTATTAGGGACCCGAGAGGGCCCCCATAGATCACTGTGAATGATTGTAAAAGGCTTTGATGCAACGTATGGCTGATTAGGAAAGGAAACACGATGATGTTTTGCTTTTTCATAAGAGTCACAATAGAGCTGAGAATAATCTCTTTTATTGCAAATTAAAGGAAACATTTTTGACATATAATTGAAATTAGGATGACCAAGACGTTTGTGCCACAACTCCAACTCACTAGTCTTAGGGAGAGACACTTTATTGCATGACCTAACAGTACTGACTTTATTTCCATCTAGGTAGTAAAGACCATCAAATTCCTTAGCACTGCCAATCGTCATCCCCGTCAGTAGATCCTGGAAAAGACAATAAGTAGCAAAGAAATCAACATGACATTTCTCATTTTTTGCCAATTTACTTACTGAGAGTAAGCTGCATTTTAAATTAGGCACATGCAAAACGTGATGTAAGGTTAAGGTAGACGAGAGTTGTATTCTCCCTATACCAGAGATGACTGACTCCGATGCATCGGCAATCTTGACTGTAAAGTTCTTTTGGCAAGGTACATAGGTCGTAAATAATTTAATATTATCCGTCATATGATCCGACGCGCCTGAGTCTACTATCCAGCAATCTCCAATGCATGCTCGTTTTATAGTAGCCAAGGCTTTAGAAAAATTACCTCTTTGTACCACAGTAGCAATAGGTTGCTTATTAGTTTGTAGGGCTGACAGCATTTCAATGATCTTACTTAGTTGATCATTTGAGGGCTGTGAATTATCATCTCCCGTAGAGCTTTCAGCAACATATCCACGACTTTTTCCCTTTCTTGGCTTCCAGTCGGGTGGCTTACCGTGGAGGTCCCAGCATTTATCCTTTATGTGGCCCACTTTCTTACAATGTTCACACGTAGGACGTCCTTTAGTACTTCTAGGATCATTAGACTTGGCAGCAAGAGCAGATGATTCAAAAGTACCGGTTTGAGAAATGGGTTCATCTTTCAACATTACCTTCCTTCGAGAGTACTCCCTCCGGATCATTGCAAAGGCTTCACGGACAGATGGCAAAGGTTCCAAACTCAAAAGTCTGCCACGAACATCATCCAAGTCTGAATTAAGTCCGACTAGCAACTCATACAGTCGTTCTTTCTCTAGCCGTTTTCTAAACCGAGCAGCATCCTCAGAACTGGTCCATTCTTCAGCAGTAATCAGATCAAGTTCTTGCCATAGAGCAGTTTTTTCCAAGTAATATTCACTTGGGTCACGATTACCTTGCTTTACGAGCCATAACTTGGATTTAATTTCAAACACTTGAGAAGCATTCTCCCCATCTGAGTATGCCTCCTTCACAGCGTCCCATATCTCACGAGCTGTTGGGAGAAATAAAAAACTCTTCTTCACAACCGGTGCCATTGAATTAACCAGCCATGAGCATACCATTGAGTTTTCGGTCTTCCAGAGCCTGAGAGCCTTGACATTCGTTGCCTCTGGACACTGGGTTTCACCGGAAACGTACCCCCATTTGCCACAACCTTCTACCGCAAGCCGCACCGTCTGGGCCCATTCTCGGTAGTTGACGCCGGTGAGTTTTTCTGAGACGAGAGAGACGAGCGAGCTCTCTTGGCCAGTCACGAGGTGTGCGACTTGACGTGAGCTCGCACTGGACGAACTCTCCAAGCCAATCGACTCTGTATTTCGGTGAGTCTCAGGCTGAAAGCTCGAGTCCATGTTCGTCTCTGATGATTCAGTTGCTCGTTCTTCTTCGAGCTCTGATACCATGAAGAATTACTGAGCAAAAAACTGAATTTTACTGTACAGTGGGAGGACGCATACATATACATATACAGACCATGATATCAGCCGAGATATATGGCCAAGAAATAAGGGATAGGGAGAATAAAATAAAAGATTTCCTAATATATCTGATCCTATAATAA